CATCGCGTGCGAGCTACACCGTACGGCCTGCTAGTGAGGACTTAGTTTCTCTAAGCGAGGGCGTCCAGGAAAGGAAGCTCTATGATGTCATAAGCACTTCGGAGTCTTCCGAGTAGATAACTTGAAATCGCTTTTGAACTGGACTGCATGAGACGCAGCTTCCCTCTGCTACAATGCCCGAAGTCCCTTATCTCTTGGTTCAAAAACAGACATCTGGAGCGTATGAAATCTTTGCGAATGCCTTGTTCGACGTCTCCCCTGGCAGTCGAGTGCGGGCGTTGCTTGATGGTGTGAGTGAGGCGGTTTGGGCATCCGTGGAAATGGTCAACATGTCTCCTGAAAGGCTTGCAATCAAAGCATATACGGTGTGTTAATTCTACCAGATATTTTGTTCCTTCTCATTTTCGTATAGCTGTTCAACCCCATACCGAGTTTCCGCGGGCAGACCATGGCTTCTATTGCCGAACAGCTTGGCAACTTAGATGACGATTTCTTTCGAAAGAAGGCAGTTCTTTGGCCTCAAGATGAACCACTTTCATCTCTGGGAACCACGGATGGGACGGTTGTCGTTATTTTCAGTGCGTATCCGCCTTTTAGAATGCTCTATGTCTGAGAGTCTTGGCAGAAACATCTGGAAAGCGTGCGCATTCTGTCACGGAAACCTCGTTTAGTCGCATGAAGCGTTCCAAGCTCGCTACGATCGCACCATCAACTATGGCCCAGCCTTCTAATTACGAAAGTAACCAAAAAGTTCCCTCCGAGAAGATCCTAGACGACCGTCCTAAACCAGATGCTGACATCGCCCCTATTCCCCTCCTATATGATGGCTTTGGCCAGTTTCTGGACATTTTTGACGGAGGAACCGATGTCCCAGGTCTGTCTGAAGTAAATGTCTCAGACCTCCAAAAGGCGGTTGATGAGTTCGCGCAAAAAATGTGTTGCTTCTATGACAACGAAGACGGACGAAGAGCTGTGGCCCTACCCGCCCTCAACTGCATTTTTTCTGCACGCACCGGTACCACAATTCCTTCGCTCCACGCAGCGGCCATTGGTTCTATGAGTACAGCCGACCATAATGTGGCGAAACACGGAGGAGGCGCACTGGTCACCGAGTTTAAGAATCAATCCGCTGGCAATAACACCATTCCCGAAGTAGAGCTCACGGGGTACGTCGCCCATTTGCATGCGACGGGAATGGAAGAACACCAAGACCTTTTTGAGAGATGGAGAGTACCATCCCTTGGGTTGACTGTCGTTGGTGAGCTATGAACATCTGTGATATTTCGGCGACAAAACTGATCATTGCATCATCCCAGGCGCCGATGTGAGGTTTTATGCTCTCATTGCAGTCGATCACCAATATCGACTCGTGACCCTTACTCCCTGCCTATCATGCATCCCATCTGCTTCCGATGGCCGCGAGCGCAAGGCTCTCTACAAAGCCTTCGCCGCTGCGTCGGTCCTGCAGGCTCGTATTCTCCAGGACGCCCAGAAGTTCCTCAGCGTGCCACCACCTACGATCCAACCTACCACTCGCCGCTTCCCGGCGGTCACCAGATTGCGCAAGAGGGACTCACCCGACGAGTACCTATCATTCCAGATTCAGGGGTTCCATCCTGACCAACAAAGCTATCGTCTTTTATATCTCGCAGAGACGACAGGCCCTGTGAAGCGGACCATCGTCGTCAAGTTCGCGCGAGAGTATTCGGTCGAGCTGCATGCCTTCTGCGCTCAACGAGGCTATGCACCCCGCATCCTCGCTTTCGAACGTCTTCCTGGTGGATGGAAAGCAATCGCAATGGAGTACATTGCTTCTGGTGTCACAATCACCGAATCGTCAGGGCTGGACACCAACAGAGATAGGTGGACAACGGAGTTATCACGACTCGTGGACGACTTTCATGCGGAAGGCATGGTTCATGGCGATCTGCGAGACGCGAACATAATCTGTAATGACCGGGATGTGATGCTACTCGACTTCGATTGGGGCGGTCAAGATGGACAGGTGTTTTATCCCACCCCCAACCTGAACAGCGAGTTGCTTGAGGGTCGATCCTCGGATAGCCTGAAAATTGCCAAAGAAGACGACAATCGGATCTTGAAGAAGACACTTGGAAAGCTCAGGAAGTAGTCAATATGTCTCCAAAGGTGCTTTTGTCATTGTATAATTATACTTTTTCCGGCATTAATGTAGCTGTACGCTCCTGGAGAAATGCTCTTCCAGCTAGTGTCTATATTTTTTATTACAGCGCTTTCAGAGTGTAATAAGATTTGTGAGAATTTTTGGTGTGCTGTCGACATAAGAGTGGGATATATAAATTAACAACGCACAGGGACCCACTGACTGAACATCGGCCAACACGGGTCCCTTCGACTCGTAAGCCTCTCCCACTGTGGCAGTGCAATCTGGTCGTAGATTGGATGGCTAGATTAGATGCCATCGGAGGCAGTGTACCGTGTAATCGAAATTCGAATGACTCCTTGCTTGCCTCCTGCCATCGCGTGCGAGCTACACCGCACGGCCTGCTCGACGCGTCTCCGAGCATCGGCTTCCTAGAGTTAAGCCATATCGGACTACTCCACTGCCGGCCCTCTTTCCCCAGCTCACACTTCCATATCGCTTTTTCCAACGTCACATTGTCATTTCATGTCATTTGATAGAGGCTTTTCGTGTTTCTTATCCGGAATGCGCGGTACCGTGACCCCGAACTTGCAGTTCAAATGCGATCCATCGGCCTTGGACTCGCTTTCACCTTACGTTCCAGCGATTCTAGCTGCCCACGGTGATTCCCCGAATCCTAGGTTAAAGAACTACTTCTAGTGGCACTTATCTGGGTGAACCTCGGCGCTTCCTCTGTTTAACCTCGCATACCTGACGGTCACTAGGCTTTCTGCTAGTGCTTCTCGACCCCTCAAAGCCAATACTATTCTAGTGCTGACCGGCACTTGTCTATTCAAGCTCGCACATGACTGTCACCAGATTTTATAAAGAAGAGCGACAGCTGCTCTTCTTTACAAACATGACTACAGTTTGGTTCTCAAGGCTAGATTTTTACATGCGACTCTGCTTCGACTTAGAAAATAGATAAAAGCGAAGCATGCAGCCCAATTAATCCCGATTCAAATCGCTCAATATTCGCTATGAAATCGACCTTTCTGAATCGTTACACGGGTCTGCTCGTTGTTGTCGGCACTCTACTGGTGGGAAGTCCAACCACGGCTGATTCTACCACTACGATCGACCCAACGGCGAATCGAGGGAGCTGGGAGGGATGGGGAGTCTCCCTCGCCTGGTGGGGCAAAATATTCGGCGACAGGGACGACTTGGCGGATATCTTCTTCACCATGAACTCGCCATCCTACAACGGCACCGCAGTCCCAGGACTCGGCTTGAACATTGTACGCTACAATGCGGGCGCGTGCAGCTCGAACAGCATCAACGGCACTACGATGGCGGCGAACGACATCTTGCCCAGTCGGCAGATGGACGGATACTGGATTGACTGGGCAAGCGCCGATCCGGCATCGTCCAGTTGGAGCTGGGGTGTCGACGCTAATCAGCGAAATATGATGGCGATGGCGAAGGCTCGGGGTACCAATCGGTTCGAGCTGTTCTCCAACTCACCGATGTGGTGGATGTGCAGCAACCACAACCCGGCTGGGGCAGCGGGTGGCGGTGAACATTATTCTTTATTCTCCTTCCATCGGTACCGTACTGATACTCAGTCATAATAGGCGAGAATATCCAGTCATGGAACATTCAAAACCATGCAGTGTATCTAGCAACGATCGCCAAATACGCCCACGACAATTGGGGCATAACTTTTACATCCGTCGAACCGTTCAATGAGCCAAGTTCCGCTTGGTGGACCGACACTAACAACCAAGAGGGCAGCCACTTCAGCATCGCAACTCAGATGCAAGTCATCATCTACCTCCGCACTGAGCTCAATAACCGTGGCCTGACATCTACTTTGGTCTCGGCCTCTGATGAGAACACCTACGACCTGGCTACAGCGACCTGGAATAGTCTTAACGCCACCACACGCAGCAATGTCGGGCGCATCAACGTGCATGGCTACCAGCAGACCGGTGGTCGTCGTGACCTGCTGTACACCGCGGCCTCAAACGCTGGGCTCGATATCTGGAATAGTGAGTACGGAGACGCGGACTCTACTGGGCAACAGCTCGCCCAGGACCTCCTGCTTGATTTTAGCTGGCTACACCCCACTGCCTGGACCTATTGGCAGGCTATCGACGTTCCTGGCTGGGGTTTGATCGAGGGGAGCATCGAGACAAGCCAACTCGCCGGCGTCGCCAAGAAGTACTATGTACTTGCCCACTTCACTCGACATATCCGCGAAGGCATGCGAATCCTCGATTCGGGTAGCGATACTGTTGTGGCAGCATATGACGCGAGTAACCAAAAACTGATCATCGTCGCCGCCAACTTCGATGCCGGCCAGTATATCAACTTCGACCTGTCGGAATTCAGCAAGGCCTCCAGTAACGGCGCTTCCGTGGCTCGATGGTCTACCCACATGGATAGCGGAGAGCAATATGCCACTTACAGCGACACCTTTATGAGTGGAACCAAATTCTGGTCGTATTTTGACCAAAACGTCATACAGTCCTTTGAGGTGAATAATGTCAGTCTGTGAGGTTGACTCACCCATTCACGACGACAGGCTTCTAACGGTGAGTGATTCTTCCTTCTTCTAAGTCACTCTCCTTCTGAATAGACTTACTCTAGTGACCGTAAACCGTACTTACATGACATTTTGTATTATCTTACCAAGGCTGTATATTTTGGGAAAATGGAAAAAAGAAAGTTAGTGTTCGATTCCGTAAGACTTCCTTCAAATCGATTATTCCGTTCGTTCAGTCGTTAAATTCATAACTTCCTGTAACTTCGTTCCCGGTTCAAGCTCACTCCAAGTTCACTCCCACTGATGAGCTGAGCTCAATCCCTGGACCGAAGGCTAGAGTCGACTAGCCAGGCATTAATGGGGTAGTGGTAACCTGGGTCGTTGCCATATTGGTGGTAAAATTGGGTATACTCGACCCGCCGGGAGTTCGATTCTCTCTTAATGCAATGAACTATTTTTATCTCAAATGTTCACAATGTAGGCGGCCTTGGGAAACGGGTTTCTTGTAATGTAGGTACCGGTATAGCCTTAGGTAGTACTATTATGACACAGGCACTTTAAAATTTTAGAAGATCCTTTGAGCCACTTCTCATGATCCAGCAATATATCATCCAAACGCACCCAAAAAAATCTCATTGCATTAAGAGAGAATTGAACTCCCGGCGGGTCGAGTATCCAATTTCGCGATGTCCGATGGCAACGACCCAGGTTACCACTACCCCATTAATGCTGTGCCTGTTACGCCCTACGTTGACTCTCGGTCTCGGTACCGCTTTCAGTCTCATTTAGTGTTCACGACGACGCGTCAATTGCTTGACCTTTGCCTTAAAAAAAGTAAATTTCTAGGGAAAAATAAAGACCAGCCTAAAGATGGCAGCGTACTTAAGGCATATCGACCCGAGTCACCATGCGTACAGCGCGGAACTGTCCCTGTCTTTGCTAATGGTGATATGCAGCTTTAATGAAAAGGAGGGAACAGAAGAAAGTTGGAAAGAACGAGGCTGAAGCGCTGACGCGTGACGTCATATCAACGTCGGCCCAATCGGGCATGCTCATTTCGGATTGGGTTAGGGTTCCGTCCTCATAAATACCGCTTCAAATCTCCAGAGATTCTTCCTTCCCTCCCACCTTCAACAAGCAAGCAACTTAGCATGCTTGCGCACCTCCACCCCTATACTCACCATCCTCGGACGCTTGCTAGCATCTCATTGACAAGAAACATTCCACCCTCTTTCTCCTCGCCTCCGCTGAGACGCGAATGAGGCCTAGCCCAGTTGACCTCTACGCGCTGGATCTCGACGAAAAAAAAGGTAATGTCAATTGCTCTATTATTTCATTTTATCATCATCTATCTTGTTGCAGGGTGGTCGACCTCGCCATTCGGCGACCTTTCATACGCACCCCGTCACCTCGCTGTCGTATCGCATATCAACCCAATATTAAATGTGGTTCGTCCCTACATGTCTTAAGTTATCACATTGGCATATACATTGACATTTTCGCAGGATATATGCGCGTCTCTTCCCATGTTCAACATTCCTGTAAGTGTTCATCCCATGATCTCTCGCTTCGTCTACTTTCCCGCCGCATATATTTGTATGATACACTAAAAATCCTTGTTTCCTTTCATTACACATGGAAAACAGGTATTTTCTTACCCAAGTTGTTGAAACTTATCCGCCATGCCGCTACCAGGTAGAAGTATTCTGAACTTATACGGTCGTAATAGACACCCTGGAAGGTGCGCCCCGGGCCCTCTTTCATTTTTACGTTCCTACTCTCTTCAGTCCTGTTCCTGAATCCCCACCCATGGCGGAAAAATCATCCATTTTGGGGTCGGCTACTGCTACAAGACGATGGCAGTGATGCTGCAAAAGACATCCATGTGCAACGCCGAGTCTCTGGTTGCCAATGTCCTGCTGTTTCCTCTTTTACGCACGATCTCGTCTTTCTGCTGCATGTATGCGTTCGTCTGGTCATGATGAGGTGCCGCATGCACATATCCCGTCTGCCTTTGGCGTTGTTCGATTTATCTGGGGTCCATATCCTTTATCTATCTCAGCTCCTGCTTTAGCTCGAGCGATCTTGGCCTCTCTTTTATGGAACTAGCAAACCGGAATTCTCCTTCCCTTCTAGCACGATCCTGGACCTACCCAATTTCACTGAGTATACGACAAAGTACATCAGTCGCCACGATGATCACCTGATAACAGCGTCGCAGAGCGGCTCATCTACTTTATTTCTCTTGGAACTCCCTCCCCCTTATCCATACCGCGAAGTACATAAAACGCATGACGATCACCCAATCCCTGCGCCGCAGAGCAGGCCTCCTTTTTTTCACCTGAACAGGTATCCCATGCAAGGGATGAGTCGTCTTTCGTCTGACTCGTCCGCATCCTGTTCTTTTTGATAAAATTAATGACCCCTCTGCGTCGTTGGACAAGGTAGCACATTTGCACGCATATATTAGGGTGTAAATGTTGAGGAGTTCATTCATATATGACTTCCGAACCTTCGCCGTGAATGCTCGACTGCATCCCTCCGCCGCATAAAAGAAACAACGACAACTTTACATTTCACCGATATCACCCAGAACGTGGCGTATAATAGAATGACGCAGAAAGGAGAGGAAATTACTCTGAAACTTCCATACTGTGACCAACTACCACATTGGACCTGAATACTGTGGATTATCTCCTCTTGCCGCCCGCACCGCTGTTCTTTGCAATTATGCAACTCAGAGAGGGCATGCACTTCCTCGCAGGACGCATCTACAATCATGGTCTGTCAATACCGACGTTCCCGCGATACATATAAAGACTCTAGACTTACTGTCCAACACCATCACCACTGGCGCTGGGTAAGGGTGGGCAGCAGTGAAACCCGGTGGGGCCTGTGGGTTGAACGAAAGGACATTTAGGGGTAGCGAGAAAGAGATGGCAGGGTGGCACTTACATTGTATATCCTGGAAGTGGTACATTCGGAGGAGAAAGGGGAGAGAAGGCGTCGTTCAGTAAGTATATAAATTCATTGACTCTATGACAATTAGAGATGGAAACGTACTTGATCGCCCCCACCTGTATGCCGTCAACAAATGTGTCAGAGCACGCAGAGCAACAGCAGGGATTGAGTTGACGTACAGATGAAGATTGGTAAACCGCCCTGAGGGTTGGGCACTGCAAACGCCACTTGGGAGAAGAACGCGAGCGACGCAGCTCCCAATGTGAAGATGGAGAACTTCATGATGTATGAATAGTAGTGGACTTGGAAAGGATAAAACACTGGTGGTTTGATTCTGGGGTCTGGAGATGGTACACTCGCAAGATTTATGCGTCGAAAGTTGAACTAAAAATAGCGTATAACTATGCCGTCCTGACGAACCTGACTGCGGTATGTAGAGAGCCCCACTTGAGACCCTATATTGATTTTGATTCTGATTTTGAGCATTCGGCGTCGATTCTTATCAAGGGTTCTCAGGAATTTCCGTTTTCTTTCTCCATATACCGAAGTCTCCGTATACGTACTACGTAGTGTCTTTTTCTACTTGCAAACATAATAGCGAGTGTAGTTCAATTGAGACACCTCGCGATACATTTACTGGCCGCGCAGGAGAAACACAGGCCGAGTTTCACATTTTGACGCTCATGTATCCCTCGTCCAGCGGCAACTTGAAGGGACATAGATTTCTTGGTTTCGACACCTGCATTCTCAATCAAACGTTCGTTTTATGTCAGTGATATGTATCAGTGTTTTAGCTCATGGATACCACATGTTGACGCCTTGTGATATCGAGTGTGAAAGTGCCCGCAAAGAACTTCGTCAGAACCCAGGGACAGTACAAAGAACAGGAATTGGCCCGCTCTTGTCTGCATTGCAGGTTCGCGCCGGGGGAGAACGATTTGGGTTATGACGAGGTAATACGCGTATTTAACCCCAGTTTGTTGAGATTGCTGACAGATTATGCACTTCTAACGCACTGGATAGTGATCAGTGAAGCAAAAATAGAGCTGCTGAGCGCTTTCATAATGTCGGTAGCTCCGGAAAGTATATATACTAGCTACCTCCATTGTCTCTCATACCCCGAGGCGGTGATATTGATTGCAGCGAAATTTTACAGACTGGAACACCAAGGTGAGGTGATTATAACAGAGGAACCACTGAGCGCTAGGCTCTAATGGCCAACAAGAGATCTAATGATAGTAATTTCCAACTGAGAATCAGAGCAAACTTGGTCGAGAAGTGTGAGCCCAGCGACTAAGTAAACGAATAGGTCATTCTTTGCAACTTTAGCAAATGTTGACGCGTAAATTTATTGAACGAAAGGTCACCCTAATAGTTTGCTAATAGTAATACGATCCGAATCGGAACAAATTCAAGGTCAGAGGGAGGCAAGTTCTTTTTTTCTTTATTCCTCACCTCTACGATTTATTGCCTTTTTGCTGTATATTGTTTACATCAGGATTTCTCGAGGATTTTCATTCAGAATCTTTGTCCTGTCTTTGCCTCAGATCGTTGAGCGCTTGAGCTGTCGCATTGCAATTTCGCCATTCGAGCTGTGATATTCTTGCGCATATATCAGCCCATTCCGACTCGGATGTTGTGCCGTGGCTGACAGTAATGCGGGCGTGCACATTCAGTTCCTACATGCAAGTTATAGTGAATCTGAATGGTGTGGGTACTAGGATAAGGTCTGTCATCCAGCTCCTGCTTTATTCGACCTCTCCTTCAAGTTGGTATCATTCCGTGTAGAGTTAATGCTCTTAGGATTGCGAGGTGTTCTCATCTAGTAGAAAACGTACAAGATCGAGCCCGCTAGATTCTCATAACTTGTAATCTCAATTATCGGATCCTCGCTTTAGGGTCTGTATGATCGTAGTATATCGTGCGATACACCTTTGTTAGAGTAGATCAGGACACAATGATACTGCGCATATTTCAATTTCATCTCTCTAAATAAAACACACATTGTATTGTATATACATGGCGAGCAGGAGACGTGAGATCGTGATGAGAACCACCAATTGAAATTGTATCGCACTTGACTGAGACCTGTACTCGTACAAGAGAAGTGTGAAGGAAAAGAAGGACAACAACGCTTGGCATCAACCTGTCGTCAGATGTTCGAGCACATTTCTGTCCATTCGGCCATATTTTGCATAGAGGTTTCTCTGGAGGATGGGTAGTAAGTGAACTATAAGCGCCGCACCTCATTGTACGCCATCACTTTGTTATTTAACTCGTACCAGCTGCGGGGTGCGTATTGAAAAGTAATCCAGCCAGTAGTAGCAACAGCCTTCTCACCAGCATCTATTTCAAGACTTCTGCTGAGTCTGATGCGAATCATTGTTGGTGGGCGCCGCTGAGGCGCAAGTCGGGCACATCGGAGAAGTTTGATCGGAGATTGAACGGAAGAGAAATTCATCCCCGCGAGTGCGAGGAAGGCCGGGACATTGAGGGCCGAGCCGAGCTGGATTCTTGGAATTGGATGTCGTTGTTCATGGCCTTAAGAAGGCTGCAGGCTGTACTTCTCTTCTTCTGAATCTTGAGAGAAACTGAGCTGTGCCGGGAAATAATGGGCCATGTCGAAGCGCACATCAGCTTCAAGTTGATATTTCTCGGATTCAAACATCTTCGAAGCTGATTAGTAAGTAGGCCATCAGTTATATCCAAAATATAGAGAGCGTATATCAGTGACCTTGTCTGGTCCTTAGCAGTTAACGACAATGAAAT